CGGCCTATATCTATAGAATTTTGCAAAGAAACACCAGAATAAACTAAATCTGTTGTAGATGAAATAAAAAATCAAATACAAACTTTGCTTCCATCAGTAATTAATAAAGAAGGCGTGGGAGTTCAAGTCAAGCATGAACTTTTTTTAATGATGATAGACGGAAAAGTGGCACAAGTTTTAACAGATACGCCTTCTAGTTCCACAAGTACAATATGCGGAGCAACTTCTAGACAAATGAATGATTTAACAAAAGTAACGGCCAGGCCTAAAAATGAAAATGCTTATCAATACGGATTATCCACATTACATGCCTGGATTCGTTGCATGGAAATGATATTACACATATCATATAATCTATCTTTCCAAACGTGGTCTGCTACAAGCGAAGAAAAAAAAAGACTCAAACAAGAAAAAAAGGCTGACAAACCACGACAGGGGACGGGAAATAGTAATGATGGCAATACTGCTAGAAGATTTTTTTACAATGTTGCCTGTTCTGCTGATATCACAGGAGTTGAAGTTGATTTAATTAAACGGTTATACATAATTTTACAGGCTTCTTCATCTGGTATAGTGGTAGATAGTAAGAAATTTGATAATTATGCTCTGGAAACAGCAAGAATATACGTGAGTAAATATAGTTGGTATTACATGCCATCATCTGTCCACAAAATTTTAATTCACGGAGACCATATCATAAACCATTTCGCAGTATTACCAATTGGACAACTTTCAGAAGATGCTCAAGAATCTCGCAATAAGGACTATAAAAAATTTCGCTTACACCATGCTCGGAAATGCTCTCGAATAGCTACAAACGAAGATGTGTTGAATACACTACTTTACACCTCAGATCCATATATAACGAGCATAAGAAAACCATATGCAAAAAATGTTAAGGAGCTCGATGAAGATACTTTACACCTTCTCAAGGTTAATGAACTTATTTCAGATCCTGAAGATCACAGGGTGTAAGATGTCAATCTTGCTAATCAATAAAGAAATATATATATTGCGATAATTTTAATTCAATATGTTTCTATATTTAAACGTAGTGTTATAGGTATTTTTACATTTTTAATTTTATATAATCATTTTAATGTTAATCATCTTAATTGAGTTATTAGAATAAAAAAATACACATACGATATGTTTGTAAAAAAATATATTTCAATAAATGAATATTATTTTTAATGATTGTGACTTTCTTCATCAATTAAAAAAAAATACGCATCATTCCAATTCATCATACATTACTTATATGAACTCTTATGTATTACTTTATATTAGAACAAAATTTGATAGCTTTATCTTTCGAATTGACGGAGTTACAGATTTTTAATCCGAAACACACCGAAATATTCCACAGTGCGTGTGGTTATTCAGTGCTATTTCGACACATCACCCCATCATAAACCCCGATGGGGTGACACGGCCCGAGGGGGTTTACAAATGCAAAAAAAGAGCAATGTTCTATTATTGACCAAAAAGAGAACAAAATGGCCTATTCTTTAAATAAAGTTCTTTTACAGTCTTTTTTGTTATACCTATTTTTATCCTACCCCTCCTCTAATATAAACGTCATGACGTTCTTATTTTTAAAATGAGTTTTGAACATTTTGTCATTAAAGTATTTTTATAGAAAGGTCAAAAAACTCGAACAACGGAAGCGGTTAAAACTGTTTGACCGAACGGTGCAGCCAACCCAAAAGCAGGAAGTCAACAACACTAGGCTTAAATTCAACCTTTCAACTCAGACTAGGCTACTCGACATAGTTTAATCAGAGTAGCAACTTAGTTCTGAGACGGAGTTTTGTCGCATCACATTTCTTAAAAAAATCTCACCATAGGCTACTCTCTATCATATCATTTTTTGGGCTTCTTCCATCACTTAAAAAGGGGTTTGATAGATACACATGACACTTTGGAACGAAGGTCCTTATCGCGCGTTAAACGCTCTAAGCGGATGGGAGCGAGATCGAAAAATATGTAACAATACTTTTTTCCGACACTATAGCAAACGTCTACCAAAAAACGAAACGAACTTCTTTCCGACCGGGGGTCCATAGACCGTATCGGGGTCTACCGAGCAGATGCGCGTTAAGTGACTGACCCATACGATCGTGCAACTCTCAAGAGACAAATGTGTTGCCGTCCTTAACCTTACTCATTCGGTGAAAACACACTAAAGTATTGCTTAACACTGGTGTTCCGTGACGCCGTGGTATCATTCCGATCGAGCCGACCCCTATGTGCCGAACCTATAGGTACATAGATAAAAAACTAATAGAATAGATAAATAAAATGAATTTATTAAGTTACTTTGAGAATCCGGCTTCTAAAAGGTTACAACGCTATTTGTTTAATAACAACAGCATTATGTCAAACACACTGGTTTTTTCCTATTCTAATTTCCTATAAGAATGATTGAAGGAATTTTTAAAAATACGAAAACATTGGCTTCTAATAGAATAGTCAACCTGTTATATATCATTGCATTAAGATGAGGACAAGGTCAGTATAACGTAGGTATATTATCAATACATTAACATAATTTCATAATATATTTATTAATGCGCATAATAATTAAGTTATTCTTTATACGTATTCTTATAGTCTCGAAGCAAGTTCACGGGGCGTTAGTTTAAAATATAAAGTGTGTATTTTATAAGCCTTGTACTATGTTGGAACCAGTATACTCTGTGTGCAAAGAGAATCACCGTATGGATGGGAAAACTAAGATCGTAGAGTTCTAGATAAATTGATAGGCTGGAAATTAATGAGATTAATGGAAGAATAATCTTAGGACGAACAAACGAGTACGAAACCCCTGGGCCTTCGAGTTACTGCTGTCTTTGGTCCTAATTCCCTTCAGACTCTTGCCGTATCCTTTGCCATACGTCCCACGTCCTTTCCGTTATTCTTAATCCAATTGGCGTTTTCCTTCGTTTGAAAACGATACATGTCCAAGAAGGTCAACTCAAATAAAAAACGATTCGAATAACTCAAGAATAGATAGATAAATCAATTGTGAGGTTTATCTTTCTGCACTTGACCTGCGCTGATTTGTATGGAGAGGTGATACACTACTATAAAATCCGTTTAAAGGCTGTTGATAAAAATACGTGTTTTTATTTTAAATTGAAAAAGTGCACTCTTACTGAGACATCCTTAAGTTCCAGTTTAGTTCGTTTTCATCATCAAATCAAACAACTGGACTTAAGGAAAAATACCTACAGAACGGTCGGTTGATGTTAAAAATGTTACAGTTACTTTGGAACGTCCACGGTATGTAAAGTAGTTATGCTGTGTTGTCTTACCACATTATTTCACAAGTTATGTTATTATAACATAAAGTGAATAGACATACCTACCGGTGGTCATCATACATATTTGTCAAATATATTCGTATTAATTTCAACTGTATGAATAGTGATTAGTCATTTAAAAAACAGATTTTAGGTAAAAACAACCTCCTATTGTTTCTGAAACCAAAAATGAACCAATTTGTTTTTTTATTTATTTGAAAGGTATACCACCCGTTTGAGGGTAGGTGAAAGGGTAAAAATTTAGGAAGGAGGAATACTTAAAGTCAGTGATCCTTTTTTTTAAATTTAATTATTGAAGATATACTCGAACTTATGTAGTGAATATATGGTATAATCGGTGTGGTGACGGATTAAGAATATCGATTATAAAATTGTCACTACCCCCATTCATCCCTTCGGTGTAGTAAGAGCTGAATAAGGGAGTAAACTACGCAGGACAACAGCACAGAAAAAGAAAACTTGAAACAAACCCTATACCAACCCGTCTGGCCAGCGCGTGGAAGATCTAGTAGGCCAAAACCTCCTTTGTAAGGAGAGGTCTATGTCCAGCAGTGGCCTAGTAAAGGCTAAGTCTAATGTCGCCTTCGTGAAGAAGAAACATTTTATTCCTAAAAATTGTACGCTCTTGTATTTCTCTCGCTTTGATAGTTACGGGATGTTACTACATTGACAGAAAAAAATAAATATATTGTACAATCACAACAGGCTTTCAAAAAATAAAACAATGTTCCTTCATTTTTCGGATCCTCAGTGGATAAAGTAATTCATTTATATGGGTAATCTAGCATTTTATAAGAGGATTAAATGTTAGAATAGTCTGTAAATAAGATTGCGTTACGTGACTGTCTTTGCTGTCTGGGTACAGACACCAATAATTAATTTACCTTGCCGTGTTTTAGCGTAGTTGTTTATAAAGTTTCAACTGTTCAAAGAAGGTTTTTATAGGTACATTGTTTACGAGATATAAAACACGTAAAATAGTGATAGTTACTCCGAGCCTTTTTCCCAAACTAAGTTGGGTTCGGCATAGAACCTCCACAACCCAGGTTCTGTAGAAGGACTGTAATTGTCGCACCCTTTAGGGCTCCAACTACCCGTAACGATTGCCGCAGAGGTTCGTATGGCAACTGGGACCGACGATTTAACGTGCTTTCCGAGGCACAGAGGGGTCTCAATGTGTTAAGAATGGTCACTCATCCATTGACTGCCCTGGATAAGATTGCTTAACTTTGCAATATGTTAACCTAAGCGATTACCACTTAGCCACAAGTCCCTCTAAATAGTGATACTCTAACTTTCTTTAAACACTGTCGGAGTGATTAACATGTATACCTATGCAAAATTATAACTTTCTTTGACGGACTTTACTATGTACTGTAATGCTTACTTGTGAGGACTACGGAACTCTAAAAACTTAAACTAAAAACTAACAAAAATTACTATAAACGACTAATGGTAAGTAGGGCAGAAGAACTTTCCGAGAACAATACTTTTATCAACACACATTTACATAAAACCGCTTCTTCCATTGAAAGCTAAATAATCTACTACACGTATTGTGTTTCCCAAAAACCTCATATCGTGAGTTTGATCGATCGCAATTAACACTTTTTTCGACCGTTTTGCATACATTTCAACAACTTATTTAGTTTTGTTACAGGATAGACATACCTTGGTCTTGGGCACAATCTTAAGTCCAATCTTGGAGTCCACGAGACTGGCGCCGGCCTCGCTCAGATACCCCTGGTTGGGGATCAAGCAAGAGCGTCCGAAGCAACATGGACAGCATAGCTTGTGCATCCACTTGGTCCATTTCGGGTTCAGTCTGCCATAGGGTTCCTCGTCTTTTGGCTTGAATACTCCAATTATTTTCTGTAAGCGATATTTAATGAGAATTTTTCTTCTTGACAAAGAGAAATAGAATTGGAGAATTGGTGACGATTCTTTTGTTGACAACATTTAGTTAATCAGAATCAAACTAAATAAAGTTACTGAAATTTCTTAACTAAATAATAATATTGTCAATTATCTCAGACACGACCGTCTTCTCTAAAACCAGAGCATGTGCTATGGTTACCAGACTGCTGATAAACATACTTATATACCCTCTTAATAGATAAACTGTCCGTGTGGTGATGGATTAAGAATACGGAGTGTCACCACCTCTATTCATCCCATGGGTGTCGTTAAAGCCGACTAAGGGAGCAAACTACGCAGGACAACAGCACTGCAACGAGAAGGAAAACTTGACACAAACCCTGGTTGGTATACAACCCCAGCGCGGTAAAGAAGGCCAAACTTCCTTTCTAAGGAGAGGCCTAATGTACAGCAGCAGATATTAAAGACTGTTGATGTGATGTGACGACATTTTATAGATAAATTACGGCCAGACATAGAACAAATGTTCGTATTCAGCACACAGTTACTTGTCCTGGGTGGAATCCAATCCATCACCTCTAGCTTAGCAGTCAGGGTGACTAGACCGACATGGCCGTCAGAGACATACTTTAGTTTGGTTGAATCCGAAATAGAATCGCCACCATTTTATATTAAAGAGGGGAATGTATCTGTTCTACCAAAAGAACGAAATATACTTAAAGCTCGCCCAACCCCGGTACAGATAATATATGATATACGCTCGCTTCGTTTCAGGACTGGCATGAAAACGTATGCAGGACATACGTAGCCAGCTTTTCACGGATAGAGCGATGGTTAAAATCACAATAGCAAATTCATACGAGTATATCTATTTCAATGTGAGAATAATGACAATGGCAAAAGCAACGATAGTGTTTTGTTTATTATTTAAATGTAAATGAAAGTCATGAAATTGTTTCTGAAATCTCATTCGAAATATAAATGATTTTTTTTTCGAAAACAAAGGTTTTGATAAGTAGAAGTAGGTAAGAGAGAGACAAAATTCTTCTTAAATTAGAGCCTTATTAACTCAGATGTACCTCTTCAATAAATATAAACACGACAACATACTCGTAGTATGATATGTGTATATTTAAATATAAATTCCTCAATGTACTGTAACTGAAAAATACTTATGGACTTTGGTATTGGTTGTGGGCTCCGGTTTCCGCATTTAGACTCAAGATAGTCCTCTGTGCGTCGAGGATAGGTTGGCTAGGTGAGCCAACCAAGCTCCTTCCAGAAGCGCAGAAGCCTCCTGGGGCGTTCACAGGCTTCTAAGAGCTTATGGACTTATGGATTATATACTTATGGACTTACCCCGCCAGGGTTCTTCACGAAGTAAGACCCGCTGGATCCTTGGTATATCCTCTCCGGGAATATACCGTTGTCGATGGCCACCTCCGCCTGCCATACCAGCTCGCTAAACTGGGGGTCATCTGCACAACAAATGTCACAATTTAGTAAGTATGAAATGTACAGTTATAATTTAACAGCTGAAGAGTTTAAACTTGAATAGATTATCCATACTTTTAAATGTGCAAGTAAGTTTGTTTGTTTGTTACGCTTTCATGCTTAAACCACTAAACAGATTTTAAAAAAACATAAATCGAAAGCTGTATTATTAGCAAGTAACATAGACTACTTTTACCGCGATAACTGACATAACTGGCAAAAACTAGTAATATATATCTATCGACATTTAGGGTCATACATCGGTAGACATTTAGTGCAATATATCTATTGATAGACATTTATCGTCAGAGTTTTAGAAGTATATCCTCAGTCAGTGACATTAAGGAAGTCTCCTTCATATTAGCAAGTCAAACAGTGATATGTTAGAAGCAACAGACGAAAACCAGGCTCTTGTTAAAATTGCGTAAGTGCATTGCAGGCCTTTCTGTCTCCTTAGGGAGGGGTGAGGCTCCGGTAATTTCACTCACTCAGTGAAAAGTAAATAAAGACACTGGTTTTTTGTGTGGCCGTGGTATCACTCCGGTTGAGGAGGTTCTAATGTGCCGATTCACGACCCTCCCACGATTGAATCCTGAAAGTTAAGCGCATCAGGATTTTCTCGAGCGTGGCAACGACGATATACATTACATCTATATATATAATATCTTGTTAACATGTTCAGCACTGAAACAGCTCACCGCTTCGCTGACGCTGTTTTTGAGAAGGCTATTACTTTCACAATATACCTTCTCTATTTGCAATTTGTGCCTAGTTAGTACACAGAACACAACCAACATTGTATTGTGTATTTTGTAATCTTCGAGTGTTTATTTTATTTAAACTCTGACACAACCATATACGTACTAGTAGAAGTAGATTTTGTTTATAAATACCAGCTTTTGGTCGCGTGTATGTCTGTTATCGCGGTAAAAAGTAGCCTATGTTACTCGCTGATAATGTAGCTTTCCATTAGTGAAAGAACTTTTAAAATCAGTTTAGTGGTTTAGGCGTCAAAGCGTAACAAACAAACTCACTTTCACATTATAATATAAGTATGGAAGTATGGATACTTTTTGTTCTTTAGCCCCCACTCGACGAATGGGGAATTTAGTTCCCACAGTTAAATTTTAAAGTTACATTGAATGTGAGCGAAAGCGTTAGAAACGCGCTCGTGGCGTAAAATTATGAAGAATAAAGTTCAAAGATTTTGCTTTAAAATAGTGTTTAAATATTTTATCTATGTAGCTTTTAATTAAAATTAGAGCTTGGTCGAAAATTTCTTACTGAAATACTTTAAATACTAAATAAAATAGAAATTTGAGATAAAAGTTACAAACAGGAAATATTGAACATAAAAGCATTGAAGTATTTACAAGTCAGTTTCCATTTCTTTTTTCTGTGAGGAAATTCCTGATACCCCGACGGGCCCTTGGCCAACTAGGGCTTATACGTGACCTCCGTGTGTGGGAAACCCGTTTCCCCTAACATGGAGTGGTGGATAAAACTCCAACAAGGTTCCAGAAACCTTCTTTCTTTCTTAACCATTACCGTTCCGATGCTTTATGGCTAAGGTATGGGTTCGCAAGTCACCTGGTAGGTTTTATTTTAAGAAAGAAGGACGACGACGAAGGATTTACGATATTACTAAAAAAAAAGTTTTTTGCAAAGTTTTAGTGAGCCTCCGCTTAATGCCATAAAGCGTTAAGCCTAATTATGAATTAGTGTATTTTTTATTAGTGTATATGAAACATACAAGGACACTTATTCCGATATTTCTCATTTAAATGGAAATCGAGACTTTATCTGCACATGTTCAATGTAAATAATGAATATGTATATCGATTGATATTACAATCCACTGCGATTGGCTTATCTGATTCACGAAAGAGTCAATATAAAACGGATTGAAGGTTGCCATAGTTTAACGTCACAGTTTTGAATGTTTCCAACGCATTTTTCGTAAGCATCGATTTGAATGTCAATAATTCGATTAGGATGCTAGTTCAAATAGCCGCATAAATTCAAATCTGTATACATGTTCGCGCATAAGAACTAAAACTTTCATAGTTATCATACAGTTGATATAGTTAAAAGAACAATATCCATAATTTGTACATTGGCCGCTGGTGCCTGTGACACCGAAGTGCAGAAGGTGCATTTACTTTCATGATGATCTAAAGTGACATTGTGTTTCAACTTAAATACGAAATATTTAGTTTTTACCTACAAAATTTTCGCCTACCTATAAAGCTATTCCTACGTAACCTCCAGAATTAATCAGATCAAGGTTAGATATTAAAATTTAATACGTTTGATTGGATTTAAATAAAAAAATCGAGCGATACAGTTTCTTAAATTTCTTTCGTGTTCTACATTTTTTTTAAAGCGTTAAGCCTAATTATGAATTAGTGTATTTTTTATTAGTGTATATGAAACATAGAAGGACACTTATTCCGATATTTCTCATTCATTTTCAATAATTCTACAACTGTCATTTTTACAATATTTTAAAATAATGTTTTAGAATACGAACGAGTCTGTTTATTAATTTTAGCATTATTTAAATACAGCTACTTCACAATTACCATCAATTTATAAAGTGTTTTATGTCCTTTGAATCTCTTGTTTGTTTTCTGTTTGACCAGCCGTTTGTCTTTTAAGAATTCTGTTTATCCCTCCCTTTGCATTAAAAAGATTTACTTTTAAAAAAATCTTGCTACATTCAAAACGCTAAACAATTAGCAACGGGTATTTACTTCACTGTAGGTTGATCAGCTATTTTTATTCTGATACGATCATATTTACATATATGTATATCATAGCGACATACGAAATCATAATTAATGACCGTGCTAAACCAATTAACGCTAATATTCAATGTCTCATAATTTATACTAGATTCCTTTCATTGGATCATTTACAAGTTTTACTTTAACTTTTATTATTTTAAAGTGCAAATGTTGCAAAACCAGCCAGTTGTTAGAGGTATGTCGAGTTGTTGATCGTCTCCATATAGACTGAACAGCGGTAGAATGCTTAGAATGTTTTTAACTACACGGATGGCGTATTGGTTTACGCGATCACCTCGCCGTTTCTTACTGCGTTGAGAGTTGTGGGTTCAATCCTTACATGGAACAACACTTTGTGTGATCCACAAAAAGTGTTCTGAGTCTGGGTGTTTTTGTGTCCTATTCATGAATGTTTGTGAAGTCCTCCGCGACACACTATATATTCCCAGTGCAGGAGTTGTCTTTTTAATAGAAAAGAAGGAAGAAATGTGTATGTATGTATGTAATTTGATATATTATTACAATGAAACGAGTGTCAATTGCAATTTATATACCGATTAAATAAATTCTGTTATTGAATGAAAAATAATTAATTAATTGAAAATTAAAGCCGTTTTATTGATGAACAAAATTTTAATTTGTATTTGTATGTACTAATTATAAGTTAATTACCTTTATTAAAACTAGAGGTCAAATTGTGACCGCTTTGAGCCTTTTCTAATGACACATGACCACTATAATTTGCACTGTCATTGTATAGATTTTTGTACCAGGACAAAAATAAATGTATCATAAAATATAGGTACCTATACTGGATTATAGATTCCAGTTGGTGGATTTTTTTAAAATTTATGAACCATTTTGGTCAAAAATTTAAAATTTCTGCACTTCTTCTACATATAAATACTATATCATTCTTTTTCCGTATGAATATTTAATACTAGAACATGTGGGATTAGTAATGATGCGTATATATTCCTACATAGTAATTTACATATTAAAAATATTTTCCGTTCGCAACCGTTCGTTTTATTAACAAGATTAGATTTATGATTTAGATTAACAAGCAAGATTAGAAAACGATTTAACATAGAACAACAACAACAATGGCGTTTGTCCCATTGTATACCTAATCTACCGTCCTGCCAAGTCTTGGTCTAAAAAAATCCGATTTAAACTTACGTGTTCTACCCATACCCGCCCAATCCTGACCCAATCGAACCCCTTAAAAAAACGTAAATGTAGATGATTTTTGAAAGTTTGTTCTCATTTTAATACAAATGTCATAGCAACGTAACTATCGCAGCAGTAAATTTATCTCTCTTTTTAATTGAAAGTAGAGGAAAACAAAGGATTATGCCAAATAATTGTTTTTGTATTACACTGTGAAGGTCGAACGGTTATCACCGTCACTAGATAATGACCATCATTGATATTGCGAAGTAAATATCAGGCGCAACGACCCCTCGATGGCTTCGAGATTTCTAGAAATACCTCAGAGGTTCACTGAACCACCTCTAATCTGGCTAACCCAGTGATCGTCAAACTGTGGCCGGTGGTCAGTATTTATGCGGCCCGCGACTAAACAATAAATTATTACTAAGAAAAGAATGAACGAAAAACATTTATTATTGATAACAACAACAAAAAAAGTTGGTTCATTATGTAGGTACATTGGTTGTCAACAAAGAGTCATCCCATTCAGCGGTTTGCTGTAGGTACTTTAGCATGACAAACTATAGCACAGCGCTGGTTTTCAAAAATAGAACGTATAACGTGGTTCTCAAGCAGCAGAGTGTTTGAAACATCACATCATTTGTAACGGACGCCTTTTAGTTTTTGGTTTGATCGCTGGCGTTGATTGGTTGGTCCAGAAGCTTTTGGAAATAACCATTTTTGTATAAGAATGCTTATGTGCCATAGTGTTTCTGTGTGTGTGTGTGTGTGTGTGTGTGTGTGTGTGTGTGTGTGTGTATTAACACGGGCTCCGGCAACAAATGTATGTTTTAAGAAATGTATGAATAAGTATGTTTATCCGCACTTTCAGGCCTGCCTAGTTTAGGATAAGACGGCCATGTGTGAAATGTGTCGAGTCATGATTATTATAATTTCTTCGCATGACATTAAATTTAGTTATTTTTTTAAGTACAGGGTGCAAACGAGCAGACGGGTCACCTGATGGTAAGGAACAACCA